GGCAGGAATCATTTATCCCTATAGATAGACAGAGAGAGAGGAAAAGATATAGACATACACACGGATATATAGATAGATGGGGAGAGAGACAGAGAAAGAAAGAATATTTGGTACTTTTAACAATTATAAAGACATAGCATTTAAAGAATGGAAAGAATTTCAAAGCTTTGAAAGAAACCTGAAACCAGCCATGTCGAATAACACATCGCAAACCTATTTCTTCAAGTTTATTCAAGACATTTCCAGTTTTATGACAGCGAGCTAAGTCAAAACTTAAATACGCGATCCGTTCCGCTTTTGGTAGAAACATATTCAAATACTTGACAGCCTGAAATTATTTTTGAAAAAATTACATTTTTCCAGACCGAAATTTATTAAAGCATAATTTCACTATAAATTTGGAATGAAAAAATAAAACCTTAAGAAACTGGCCATGCAATAGTGCCTCATGCCTTCTATTTTCACGTCTTTTCACCAAATTCATCAGTATCAGCGGATTACCATATTTCTTTCGCAACTCACTAAAAAAACCGAAATAATTTGAAATTAAGAGAAAAAATCATGAAGATCCGAAATCATTCGATAATTTCATTGCAATATCGATATCTATTATATAATGCTATCCATAAGTAAACAATATCTATTATTCTATTCTTAATATTTAAGGCTTGATAATTTTAAAAAATCCCTAACTAAACTATATTATTTGCTAGGCATTTTCGAGTGATAACAGCAGGATATCAAAAATGTTTGGCATTTCCATGAACTTTTTTATTTAATCCAATTAAATTAGAAAAAAGTTTCATTAAAATATTACGGAAATGAATTCTAAGAATTTACTTTTGTTTCGTATTAAGCCTTAAATGTTTTCATAATAAAAAGCACCGGAAGTGAGCAGCAGCAGTTTGTGCATGTGGCTCGTTGATGTCAATCGAAATGACCGGCTTACCAACAACACCACGAGTAGCTGGGTCTTGACTCCAGATAAGCGGCACCGATCCACGACGTTGCACGAAAGAACTAAACTTTCCAGTTGTGAAGTTAGGGGAAGAGCGTGTATCCCAAATGATTTGCTCCGTTTCAACATCATTTGCTACTTGGCCTGCAATTTAAACCGTTAAATTATCCGGAATTCAAAACTAATGACTTTTGAAAATAATTTCAGAAGCTAAATGACCCTATCCTTTAAGTTAATTTCTAATCTTCTATACTATGCTTTAAAAGCAAAGGAAAGAAAAATGACCTTTAAAGTTAGCGCCTCGTTTTAGATATCTTGTACCTGCATATTCTACAGAACGACGTCCAATCAGAATTAATGATAGTCGAGAGCACGGTAATTCGATTATTTGCTGGCCTGTAGATTTAACTGACTTCAAAATTTTGATCAGTTTTATTTTTTTGGTGAAAGAGGATTAGTCACTTGTTAGGAATTATAAAATTATGAAGTTTGGGAGGATTTTTTACGAATGAGTCACGATGAAAATGAGCCAGCACTCATAAAGTCCAAAATGAGCTTAAATAACCAACAAACCAACATATCCATGAACCACTTCAATAAACCATTGCTCACTAACAGCGCTTTTACGTAATGGTTCCAAAAGATAGCCATTCCAGATAAATTTTGAGTCGGGAAAGAACTGGCAAGTTTCACCTTTGTCAGCTTGTTTGTACTTAGGCCAGTCGGATATTTTCAATGCATTTTCTTGCAGCGTTCGGCTCAAGTCGTATACATAAGAGAAATAAAAATCTGTTGACAAATCCACCGACTACAAAACGAATAATTGTTTTTATTCTTATGGTATTGAAGCTGTGGCTTAAAAGTCAAATAGATCAGAAATTCTTTCTCAAAATTTCGAATTATATTTGGCTTTTACGATAATCTTAGACTACATATATACCTAGGAATACCTTCACCTCTTGCTAATGGCAATTTTACAACAACTATGAAATTATTAGAGTAACTGAATGACTTTGAAATATGATAAATTAAAATGAACAATAAAGTTTGACTTGAAATAATTTCAGATAACGTAATTCATCGGCATTGTTAATTGGAATTCCTTGTATTGCTAAAGGAATAAGAATAACTTCTTCAATTTTATATATTTCATGATACCCTATTGTGGCAACAACTCGAGCCCTCGTTACGACCTGGAAAAAACTAACATATTGAAGATAACAATAACTATAATTTTAAATAAAATACTCCATATAAATGATGCCAAAAACTCTTGGCAAAATTTTCCTTTTGAAACTCTTATTTCAAAAGTGATAGATATTAGCTTTCATTATGAAAATTGGGAACACTAAAAAAAGTCTAAATAGTGACAACAATGATACTACCTCACCAACAAATAATAGCCTTCAAGAAAGCGTACAGCCCCAAGTAATCCGAAAGCATCAGAGGCACGTTCGATCAAACCTTTCCGTCGATCAACACCCATCGATTGCTTCTCATTTTGAGTAAACACAACTACAATTTTAATGTTTTGATAAACAATACAATGAATTTGACTATATCCTTGGTTCATCAGACACATTCCAGAACATGAGAGTATCCCTAGGTATATATATATGTTTTTTATGTTTATGTTGATCGTAGGACATCAGTGAAGATTCATTCGTAAACAAACGAAACCATTCCCAATTATCATATTATATCAACAGTTTAAATATAAATTTTGAAGTCAAGTATCAGATATTAGTGCGGATTTGGTGAAAAGTTGATGAAAAGTTAAAAAAAAGGATAAATATACTACTCCAGATTAAAATTGCTTGCAAATTTTTCTCTATAACTGCAATTATATTAAAGCATATCTAATTACTTATCTCATTTTATCATATTGCTTATCTCTGTCTTGTTGAAATAATAGTGACTTTATAAAAGAGATCAGTAAACGGAAAGTTGAGGATACGACACACTCCTCATTTAATCTTGCATGTTTCTTTTCTGTCTTCAGGTATCTCAGTATTCCTAACCTATCTAAGATATGGTTGGTAAGTGAGAGGCACTTTATTCCGTATGTTTTTAAATGGCTTGGAAGGAAAAATGATATAGAGCAAAAATACTTTACTAATTGTAAGCAACTTCTGAACAATTTCAATGAATCGTATCAAAGCACTTCGTATCAAAACATTTACTTACTGGAGCTTCCTTCTGAAACAGTGGCCAACAATTCCATAACATCACTTTTTGAATAACTCTCTCCGATTTCAGAAATGTCCAAAGTTTGCACTCCCAAACGGCTAATTTTTAGCAGGCGATAACGAGTCTTCGAAATATCAGAACCAACTATGTAAAAATTGGTTGGTGTTTCGAAAACATTCAAATGCCATAATCTTGCCATGCGGAGCACCGACAATACAAATTATATTAACTAAAAAAATACGAGATTTTTAGAATTTCTTCACAAATTAATTCGTACTGCCAAAAAAAGGAATCTTACAACTTTTTCAAAACCTAACCTTCGACGAAAAAATTTAACCAATATTCCCTACAAGTTTTGCCTTCCAAACGCTAAAAACAGCCTCATCTTCAATCCAAAACTAAAATGTTGAATTACAAATTGCATATTCTGCTTCCAATTTCCAATTTAAATTAAAACAGCAAAAGTCGGCTTCACGTACAACCAAACAACTGTTGCACCACTTTCATTAAAGCTAAGATCCACAAATGCTAACTTCAACTGGAACATCTCTGACAAGCCTGAAGAGATTAACTATGTTTACTAAAATTGCTTCAATTTAGTTCGAATGAATTCACTGAAATAGGTTTGATACATTTGTTGAGAGCTCTATTAACTTATAAAATTTAATTTTTTCTCATTTGGCAAGTCTGGCGATATTAGCATAAAATTTCTCCACGAAATTTTTCCTTAACATCCACAGTACTCCTTTCATTGTTAGCTTTCACGAAATAACGTAGTATCACACCTGGACATGAACTAGATTTATGTCAAATATATCAGCTTATAATAAGAGTGTATATCTCCAGTAAACATTCACAACAATGAGTTTTATTAAATTACTGAAAAGGTAGGCACCACAAAGTACACAAAGAGTCCGCTATTCCCATATTGTTTTCCACATTAGTTAAAAAAAGAAATGTACAGGATACTAAATGCTGAAACTTCCGTTTAATTACTCGAAATAATTGTAAACTGTAAATTTCAAAATACCAAACGCAATTCACATGCACACTTTTTGCACTGAGCTGTGGAGAGATGACACTTATCCCAGCCTTCTAATAACAGTTTTACTTCATTAAAAACTTAATCAATAGATAGAATGAATGAGATGAACAAAGAAATCCACACTGAAATCATTGTTCGTTGTTTGTATCATGTTTTATTTTTATACATTCCGTTATCATAAAATCTCGAATCGCTTTCAGATAACAGTAAACAAAAGACATATTTCTACTATTACAGGCCATTTCATTCAAGACTGCTTGCATTTCCAATTCATATTGAATATATGTGAAACAATCGAAGATCTAGAAGTCCAAAGGAATTTCTCCATCTACTCGACAGTTGTCACCATAACGCGATTTATGATGCAACAGGAAATCATTTTAATTGAAAAATCTTCGTCTTCTCAGTCTTCTATGTACATTTGCAAAATAACATACACATATACATATAAGCATAAAAACAATGAAACCAATGCTTCCAAATTACAAAATTTCGTGCTTCCAAATTACAAAATTTCGTAGCTGCTACAATTAATTTAATGTTTTCACCGATTTTATTGCTCAAAATTATATGAACTGCGCCAAGTAGTTTCTAAATTTCTGATAGTTAAAGCAAAAATTACAGAAAACTAAGAAGCATTTCGGCCTAAACGGATTTCGAGAGTCTTTAGAAGGAATGATGGAAACCCCATCTCTAAAGACATTTAAACAATTAACAACAAATTACATACATGCATATGAACAATATGAATAGGTTAAAATGCATTATCTTCATCTAAATTATCATCCGAGCCAATATCACCGTAATTTTCACCATTATCGAAATAAGAGTGAATATAATCATTATCTTCTTCTTGATAATCATCATCCGATAATGCTTCCTAGAAATACCGTAAATTTATGAAAGCAAAAATTGAGAAAACCCTGAATATAAATTGCTCTGGTCTCGTAACGACTTAAAAATAAGTGACGCCTTTAAAGTTAAAAAAAGTCGTAGCAAAAACATGGCTGAGTGCAAATCATTAACCTGTTCTTCATTTTCGTTGTTTTGTTCCTCCTTTTCACTTTCTTCATCATTTTCGTCAACAACTTCCTGGGTTTCAATTTCAGGGCTACCTAACTTTTCTCTTTCCTCAAGTTTTGATAGTTTTTCAACAACTTCATAATTCCCCTCATCAACTATTTTCCGTTTCTTCTTCACTGATCTGCCAACCTTTTTTTTCCAGCATAATTCATCCGGAAGTCGTGACCAATCTGAATAGAGTTAAGTTTAATGATCGTAGGATTCTTATACCCTCATCCTTATTTTTTTCACAGGCTTCAAAAAAGAATCAAAAGAAATAGAAATTAAAGAATACCTTCAAAAATCTAATTAATTTGAAGGAAAGAATAAGAAAAACATACCAATTTCAAATTTCGGAAAACTTTACTTTCCTTAAAAAAGTCCTTTCTTTCGATTTTTTTTTGCACCTAGACATTGCAAATATCGAAGTCAAGACTTCAAGAGCATGAGGAATGTAGATGACGTTAGAAAATAATAATGACCTGGTCGCAGTTCTTCCTTCTCAATTTCTCTATACTTGTCTGTATATCGTTTAAATTCAGAATTTCGTTCCTTTACATCGAAATAAAAAGATGATTCGTGAAACCGAGTGAGCAGTTCTTGTCGTAATTCAGCCATGTATTGCAATTCATCTGTTTTCTCGAGAGGTAAAACCATCTGCGAAACCGGCTGAACAAATCCAGCGTCATATGCATTTACTACTTCATTTCAATATTTCTTACTTTCTAAATTCTTACCAAGATTGCGCTGGTAAATAACACACAATTATAGTTTTTCTGAACGAATAAGAAAATGTGTTTTGGAAACTCACCGGGTAAGTAGGTTGTGACTCCAAGACCACTTTTGTATATGTGCTCATTTCATTCCGGGCAATACCCAATGCATTTGCAACCGCCCGTAATCCAGAGGAAGCTCCATCTCGACCACGACTACCCCGTGACATCCTTTAAACCAATCATAGAATCAAATCTATGTAAATTAGTTGCAAAATTAAACCCAACCAACAAGTGAATATAAAACGAGACCCGCACATACTAAGTACAATAAACTATCGAATTAGGAGTTTCCTAGCAATCCAATTCATCCCTGTTAATAAAATTCTCTTATATCTTTGGAAGTATATGTACCTGCACTTTGAGAACAGAACAAACGAACGAAAAGTAACTCGAGTTTGCAACTTTTATGACTATCAATCAAATTTTGCATAAAAAAGCAAAAAACACTCCAAACGCAACAATCGAAAATCACAAAACTTATATATCCTTCTTATCAATGTATGAAAATAATGCTGGAATTGATAACGACTAAACTATCGAATATTTTTTTGAAATTTGTGTAAAACCAAATCTTGTAAATCACGGATTAAATACCCGTAAAATTTTTCAGCCCACCCCAGATGACATTTTTTTAAAACTACATTTAAAAAATCTTGGAAAATACAGGCGCAGACATCACAGAACAAATTAAGATATTCGATGACGAAAAAACAACGATACCAGTTCTATAAAATATGTTCAAACTCAAACCGAACAGACCAATCATCTAGTAATTGCAAATCTCATAATTGCAATTGCAAATAATGCAAATCTAGCTGGCAGTATTCTCCAAAATGAGCAAAATAATTTAAAAAATCAGGTTTTCGTCTCAAATATGGAGAATAAAAACATAAAACAGAGTAACAGTAATTACAAAACTGTATTAAAATCCTAAAACATTATGATTTTTTTAATTCTACCGCTCTTTATTCGTCTTGTTCATAGCATCTGTCGCTCTAGCCTAAAATATATAAAATTAAAATTTAACGTGCTAAAAAAAGTTTTATTCTGGTGACGCAAAAATCCTGTGTTAAGTAAAAATGAAAAATTGTATGGAAATCCAAATATCATTTAAATTAGTAAACCGTAAACTGTTCGGCAGCGAATATAGTCCCTTTATATAGTTCGCAATAAACAATTTCGTGGAATGGAGTTGACGATGATGCTATTCAAATTTTATCCAATCCATTTATTAAATTAACAGCAATTTGTGCGCCGTCTTAGTCTATGTAGAAATAAGAGCTTATCTGCTTGAAGATAATGCATAAATATTGAATTTCATGCCACTTTCACAATACGATGAAGCAGATGGCATTAATTTGAGACAAGCAAATTTTCAAAAGCAACTGATAAACTTAACAACAAGTAATTCGTCTTTTCGAAAATTTATTAGTTGCATGGATAATGAAAATGATGGGTGGACTGAATTAAAATTTTTCTTATTTGGCGGATCGAAATTAAAAGCATTGCAGAAGCAATTTTTGTTCCTCACTGATATTGAAAGAAGCCCTCATTTCAAGACCTCCTTTCATGAAATACAAAACTTACTTTGGTTTCGGAATTATCCTTCAAATTTTTTGATTTATTCCATGACTCTAAACCCTTGGGTAATGTGATATCTTCGTCCAGGCCACCAGTACCCGCAACAAACTCCTCATAAGTTTGCTTTTCCGCAAACGGACGCGGTCCCAGCAACTCAATTAAATCTTCTCTAGATATAATTTCGTTCTGAAGTAACCTTTCTGCCACCTAAAATAAGAAAGAAAAAATATCCTATATATATATATTAAACATCCTGTAAAGTAGTAATTAAATGAAGATAAGGTATTTAAAAAAATACAAAGTGAGATTAAAAACTGCAAGGATTCAAGAAGACTACAAATATGAACAAGTTATCTAATGAAGTTGCTTTCTGTAATGGCTTACAGTTTCAATTTGCGGTTTTTTAGATTCCAGTAATTCATGTGTTCTTTTATAAGCTGTATCGACAAGATCACGCACCTAAATGAGAAAATCATTATACAGAAAATCAAACATAAAATGAATCTCACATTATAATCTTCTGTAAACTCTAGTTTTGTACTTTATCTGTTTTTGTGCCTTCCATGCAAGGCTTAGTCACAATATATGCTTTGACCAGATACTTTGAGCTAATTCAGTTATTTCTATAAATTATATTACTTGAAATTCAAAAGGAAAAATTTTCTTCTAACTTCTTGGTCAATGAGTTCTGCAGTGGTTTCGGAATACGGTTTTTGAAAAGTTGAACCCTCTGTAAATGATAATGGACCAACTTTCTTGCTCATACCGAACTTTACAATCTGTAAGTAAGTTAATCAATGACGTCAAAGCGAATTGAATCATATGACCTTATCACAGGTTGAGATTTTAAATTCGATATAAATGAAGAGTTTTCAATAACTTCCTTAAAATAGCTTTAAAATTACAAGGAAATTTCAAAACAAAAATCAAGACCTGGGAATATGCCATTTCAGTGATCTTTTGCAAATCATCTTGTGCACCTGTCGTAACACGTCCGAAAAAGATTTCTTCCGAAACACGTCCCCCTAGCATCATACACATTCGATCCAAAAGTTGTTCGGTGGAATAAAGATATTGCTCCTTCGGTAGGTACTGCGCATACCCTAATCCCTTACCACGCGGTATTATTGAAACCTGAAAATGCTTAATTTATCCAACTTATAACTTTTAGGAGAATTTAATGTATGTTTTGAATTTATTCTTGAAAACCTACTTTCAGAAGTGGATCCGCATGCTTTAGGAACCAACCAGTGATCGCATGTCCTGCTTCATGAAAAGCAACTATCTTCTTCTCTTCCGGTTGCAAAACCTGACTTTTCTTTTCCATACCAGCAACAACTCTTTCGATAGCCTAAAATTTACTGACCCAAAGAAGTATAAAATCAAAACAACAGCAAGGAAAAAGAGAACCAAAAAGAGAACCCTTTTATGGAGTAAAATTTTACCGAATCACTGATTAAAAATTTTCTATTGTTTGGTTCCCTTTACAAAAATAAGCTTCATAAAAGGTAATAAAATTATTTTATCATGCTTCAAGAAGATAAGCCAAAAAATCACCAAGTTATGGAGCCTATTTTTGTAATATCCAGAAGACAGGAATATAACAAACGATAATTTCGCTATGCAATGCTTACCTGTTCGAAATTTTTTAGAATAATTTCATTTCCCGCATCACGTGCTGCTACTAATGCCGCTTCATTACAAACATTTGCAACATCGGCTCCTAAAAATCATTTCACAGTCAAAAACTAATAATTATTTCGTTGAATCCAGTAAGGTCACGATAGAGATAAACCTGAAAATCCGGGAGTTAGAGCAGCTAACTTCCTTGAAAGCTCCACTTTATCCAGACTTGTCTTCAGTTTCGCCAAATGAACACGAAATATAGAAGCCCTAAATAAATAACTCTAAATGCTCAGAGTTTAGATTAATTTACAATTTCTGTATTTTTACATAACTCTTCACTATTCCTTTCTCTTTCCTCCGCCCCTTTCTTTTCGATGAATTCTGCCTATAAAGAACCTCTTCAAAACTACCAATCACCTTCCTTTGATATCAGGTACAGGAATGAAGATCTGCCGATCAAATCGACCAGGTCTTAGTAAAGCCGCATCCAAAATATCGGGACGATTTGTAGCTGCGATCACAATAACCGATGATTCGTCAGTCGAGAAACCTTTAAATTTCTCGGAATTAAATAATGTTCTTATAACAGTTATTTGGTAGACGATGACATTTGAAACAAATTACCATCCATTTCAACTAACAGCTGATTGAGAGTATTTTCCTGTTCCGAATGCCCTCCAAATCGGCCTTCACCTCGCTTCCTTCCAACAGCATCTATTTCATCTGCAAATGAAATTAGTTTCTAAAGGAAGCTATTAATTTTACTGCCTACCAAGCTGATGTCTTTGAAAGATAAAGTAAAAAATAAGCTATCACTCGAACGACTTCCTTATTGTTATAAATTTGAATAAAATTATGAGACATATTTAATAAACAGAATCAAAACGATACAAACGAAACAAAGAATTTTAATTCATAAGGGCAATAACTGGATAAGAGGACACAAGCACTTTTGTCATCAATTCGACAATATCGATCAAATGTACTTTACAGAAGCGATTTCATCTGATAATGCTAATTGTACATTTCCTGTATTTTGTTACCAAACAATATTTTAAATGTGAATCCATATATATACTTTGACGAATACATCCTATTTAAGCTAGTATTAAATCAATAATCACTATTGAAGAACATAAAAACAATCAAAAACACACCGATAAATAATATGCAGGGTGCATTTTTGCGAGCCATAGAGAACATATCTCTGACACGCGCCGGACCAACGCCCACAAACATTTCCAAAAATTCTGAACCACTGACTGTTATAAAAGGAACATTTGCTTCACCGGCAGTCGCTTTAGCCAACAGTGTTTTGCCAGTGCCCGGTGGACCAGTTAGAATTGCACCCTGGAGAGAACAGAATCATCATTTCTAGGCAGACTGATCCCTACGAAAACCTTTGAACAAAATTAATTTTTTCCTAACTTTATAGTCCGCTGCTTAAATTCTGAACTGTGAAATATACAACATGATGCAAAAGTGAACTTGCCTTCGGTATTTTAGCACCAAGCTTCTTATATTGTTCTGGATTTTTCAAAAAATTAACAAACTCCATTATCTCTATTTTCGCTTCTTCACAACCAGCAACGTCATTGAATTTTATATCGATGTCATTTTTATTTATTAGTCTTGCTGTACTTTGTCCAAATCCGAACATATTAAATGGTCCTCCACCACCGAAAGGATTCGCTCCCACACGGCTACCTGTAATATCCTTGCCCAAATAAATCAGAATGAATTATAACACGCTCGAGTCATGAGGATAATAGAAACTTCGGAAATAAAACCTGATGATCGTCTTGAACTAAAAATCATTCTGATGATAGGCCACGCTAGCAGAAACAATATGGCCACAGGGACTAAACTGCTTATCACTGACCTAAAAGAACTTGCAACATTTCAAAATAGACAAATTTCAATTAGAAGTTTTTCTGAGTGAACATGCTACTCACGTTGTATCGACCGGATTATAAATAACGGTGACTTGATTTTCCGGAGTAATTCCAAGATGTTGCTGTGCGGCAGCCAGAGATCGTTCAAATGCATCTACACTCCCAATATAAAAGTATGGTGTGATCTAGAACAACTTACAATTAAACTGCAAACTCATTTATAAATGGATAAAAGCTTTACATGAATTGTCTGTTCTATATCAAACGCAACAGAAAAACTGCAATGTTTATGAGTCTTTATAAAAAGTAAAACATCTGAAAAAATGAATAACTTACACCAACACTCGTATCCTCTCGTACTTTTACTTCAACCCATGTTCTGTGCACAATCAGTCGGTCAATCTAAATTTGGAAAATATAGTCGTCATAAAAAGAACCTAAAAATTCGAAGTAAACATGACCAGTTTTGAAGGCATTAATCAAATTATACTATCTAAACTGAACAACAGAATTTAAATAATAAAAATTATTATATAAATCCTGAGCAAATAGATCACTTACAATGCCTTTCTCCAAATATTCCGTATAAAATTCCTTCCAAGATATTTCTTTACTTTTGTTTGCTATCAGAAAAAGTGCAGCAAATGCTGCCATGGCTGCTAAGACAGCTGACAATCTGAATAAACAATTTTTGCAAACAACGATGAGCAATATAAGTAATTTATTTATTATATAAATAGGAAACTTTTTAAAAAGTAGATTAAAACCAACGGAGGCATCGGTATATCTGGGAAGCCAGAAGGTCGTTTGCTTCGATTTGGGTTTTCAGACGGTTGATTGTCACTGATTCCTTTGGAAGATTCACTGGCTTGTTTCTCATTTATTTCCTGACTGATTTTTCTCGCTGTTTTCAAATTTTTCTCGACTAAAAACAAAACTTGGATGAGTAGGCATCGATAGTTGTCATAGTCAAGACTACAGAAAGTATATATTGCGTTTTTCAAAAGTAATGGAATCATTTCAAAAATGGAAGGCAAATAAAATGATAGGATTCAAGCAACTTTTTGGATGTTTAAAACAAGTCATCATATATTGAGTATATTTTAATTTGTAGAAATAAGATTTAAACTGGAAAATAAAAAAAGTGTGAGAAAAGATGCAGCAGTTAACATGGCGAAAAGATGTGGCAGTTAACATTAACAGCTAGCCTATAAAAACGTCATGCTACCACCAATCACATATAATAATAACTTTTAAGTTGCGTTGCAAGCCTTGATTCACTTACCGAACAACCGTTTGCTAATTTAAGGGTCATAGGAGTTGATGAACGACTCTTAAATAATCTACTAAATAAATGCTTGGTTTTGATGATTTTCATAAATGATGCAAAATAAGGTTCGGAAGACTTTAAAACATCTGACTTAAAACAGTTCAGAGATTCATAACTACTTATTTAGTTATCGACCGATAAAGTATAAGCACATAAAACCGACCTAAGCCAGCTAAGAACTATTATTTCTTTTAAGCCATCCTAAACAGACAGCTTTAAGTTTTGAACCTTTTAACGCACGACTAAAAAATGCAGTACTTTGAAAAACGATTCTAAACATACATACACTGATCTAATAAGTCGTCTATGAGCTTTTTCCTTGCAAAGTAAATGTACTGCAATGACTTCAAAAAAACACTCCATTCCCATGTCTGAGATCCACCTTGCAGCAACGAGAAAACCGGAACTACTGGGACGAGAGCATCCTTCAAAATCATGTTTAATATATTTGATCACTATTAAACTGCAAAGTTCATAAATTCAAAATGAACAATGTAAGAAAATGGTGGAAATCAAGCCAATTTAATTGGTAAATAAATTTTTCGTTGTTCACTTACCGTCTCATTTACTATTTCATCGAGATAATTTATGTTATAAAAAATAATAATAATTGTCAAATTAGCAAAAGCACAAACTTTCTGAAGCGGAGTATGAATTAGTGATGCTCTTAGCTGCGCGCATCCTCTTTCATGAACTTCACATCGTAGTCGATTTAGCATATCAATAAGACGACGCGTCAAACGTATCATATCTAAATATATATTACATATAATTAACGTATTATATAATTAAATTAATTTTTCACCATACGACAATAATACGGGGGAGCTTATGGTCAAGTAATCCCAAAGTATGGTATCAGTCATCCCTCCTCATCCGTTTCCTTTGGTCCGATCCATTAAACTGCGGATTGTGTGACTCGTCCGAAATGAGCGTGCGCTGCAAGTGGGGACGCAATTTTGTGGAGTGTTAGGAAGAATTGGTAAGAGAGTTATAATTGTAAGTAGCAGAACTGTAAGTTATTTGACTGATCTCTGCCTTCTTAGATATACCGAATTAAAGTGAATTGATTTTAATTAATGAATTGGAAGAACAATCATTGCAAATAACATATTATGTATTCAGCAAATTTTATTGTTTTCCAATTCTGATATATTTCATTTTATACTTGAAGATTATTATTATAAATTAGAAACAACTCAAAACGTGGCAGAAATTGAGTGATGAAAGCTGCTCTCGTAACGAAGTGAAATGTCAGTTAATTATTTTCAAGACATGCAACCAGCAAATGCTAATGTAATGCAGCAGAGATTTAAAACGAATGGTTTGCTTTTCCTTTTAACACTCAATCAAAAGAGACTAATTTTGAATTTCATGGACGAATACAGAACTGGTTTCCGATTTTTAAGCACGCCATAACTAATATGAAAAATAAGCTTTAATCTAAATAAAAAAAATGAATTTCAATATATAGATAGTCCTTGCAAGCCATTTAATTAACTTATGTTATGGCTTTTATGATATGCAGTGAGTCCGTATTACATTCTATTTGATCAAATTGAATGTGTTTCGAATTCTCGAATTTCATAATTTTAATCGTCCTTTAAAGCAGCATTTTTGAATTTCCAGTTGAAGAGTTTACTCTTTTTATTGATTTAGCACCACAGCATGGTTTTTTTAAAGATGATCAGTTCGTAGATTCGTTCTCAGCAAATGCATCTTTTGGACTTGGTTCTACACCAGCAACATTGTCTAGACCAGCCAGTGAAAACGCATCCTCACCACGAAAGTCGCATGATCCGATGGCTAGCGCGTCTATTGGCATCACCGAGTTAGTTATCTTTATCAGAATAAATTTTGAAAGCTTTACTGAAATCTTGTATTATTAATACTTTTTGCATTTTATGAAGATATCATTAATTTTTCAAATCATTAGTTTTTCATAAATTCATTTCAGTTTGGTTGCAAAAATACTTATAAGTCATCCATGTACAGTTTTGAGAAGGCAGTGTCAGGTTCATCAGTTCGCCAGATCACTTCATCTTACGCCCTTTACTTTAATTCCTGTCGTTTATAAAATAGTTAGCTGCGAAGTTAGTGAAATACATTATTTACTTCTCGAACGCATCTCTTAATGATATACTGATATTAATAATATTGTAGTTGCTATCGCTTAAAATTACTAAATTATTTAAAAACTAATTTAAATGCCGAAACATTAGAAATGCAGGGACTTTTGACTTTATGGAAAGGCGTTATTGGTTCAAGTATTATCAGGGGTTTATCTATTGCTGGAGAAATATTGCTGGCCGATATATTTGGTTTTCCACGGTATGCTTTTTTATCTCAGTAAGATTAACTTTTTAATATTTATTCCTGATATTGTCCAGTAAAACTTTGGATAATTTCAGGCATTATGTAAAACATGGAACCGTTAAGAAATATTTTCACCATCTGATATTAAAAGCGTAAGTACTCTTAGACTTTGTTGCCAGGTTTGTTCTTAGAATGATGTATGAAACAATATTTTTTTTCAGCTCAACTGCAGTTTGCATGACTCCATTTATTGTTTCAGCATTCATCGAAACTGTCAGGGTAAATGAATTTTAAAAATTTGCAAGAAAAAAGATATTACATTAGCACTGCTAAACATTGTAGTTGATAAGAATGGGGGATATGGCATATGAACCTTACATGTTGTATCTCCCATTTTGAAAATTTTTCAAGAAAAGAATACTATATTTGCATTGTTTTAACCTGTTGCACAATTCAGATTTTTTTCGATTTCTGGAATTTTGATGATAGGATTGAATGGCTAATAGAAATATACCTTCATTTCTATTTTGTTCTACATGATAGGCGATAGAAATTTTTTTTTGGACTTTGATCGTGGTTTAAAAGTAATTTTATAGAGCGAAAGTGGTCGCTACGATGATTTCCGTGTAATGGATGTAATAAATAATGGAATAAGTCGTTTGCGACTTGATTTTATCGGCCCAAGAGATAACAGCAAACGTTTCTCATTGTTCTATCTTTTAATACCGACAACTTGTTTATTTACGTCGCACTATTTGATAACGATCAGTATCCATGACTGGATATATGTTTTGGCCAGACGATATGTTGTAAGCTCATTTTATACTTCAAATTCTTACAACATTTCATTTTGTGCAAGAACTAAGTTCAGCTCTCATTCTCTAGCTTATAATTTTAGAATATCAAAATATATTGAGTATTATTTCACAATGTATTGAATATTATTTCAAAATATATTGAATATTATTTCATTATTTTAGAATCGGAAGCCGTTACATGAGAAAACTGTTTTTGATCAATATTTTCCGCAGATATTTGCAACTTTGACATCACAAATGCTTGCTGATTTTGCACTATACCCATTCGAAACAGTAGTTCATCGTCTTTATATTCAGGGTAAGATTTTTTTTTTTTTGATCACTTTTAAAAAGTTCCAAGAAATGATTTCAAAATTCGATTCGGGATCTAAATTTTTCGTTTTTGAAGTAAATTCTAGAAACCATTGAAGCTAACATTTCAGGAACACGAACATTAATCGATAATCTTGATACTGGTGTCACGGCTATCTCAATAACAGCAAAATATGTTGGATTTTTCGACTGTTTCAGGACAATCATAAATCGAGAAAGCTTCTGGTCTCTTTATGCGGTATGCTCAACTTGAAATACGTTAATTCTATTGTTGTTAAAACTTCATCTTTAAGTGATTGACTTTGAATTTACGCTGTGAACTCAGAACTATTCCGTACACTGGTGTTCTGGTTTTTTTTACAACTTACTTTCCATACAAATGTACTTTTGATCTGGTTTTAATGTGTTATTTTTAGTTACTTTTAAATATTTGCGAAATATTCTCGTTATCTATTTTTAGCTTTGCTTTTTCTATCAAACTTCGTTGTGAACCACCAGTTTCATTTTAAGTGGTCTCTTATTTCAGGGTGTTGGAGCACTTGGTTTACAGTATGTCTTGCACTTATGTTTGCTTCGCTTTATTCGAACAATGGTTAAATACGGAAATCGGGCAATTAATGCGCAACAACAAGAGGGTATTGTGATTAGCAGTACATCATCTCATCAATTGACGCCTCTGCAATTCGATTTAGAGACTTCTAGTAATGCCATGACTGAATTATCTGCACCTCTTACAGAGAGTATCTCTTTTAATTCTAGAGCAAGGTTTGTATGCTAGTTCTACTTTCATTAAAGAATTTGTTCAATATTTTATTGTTGCGCAGGTAGTTAACATTTTGTGTTATACTGCAAATAAGTGTATTTAATTTTACGATCTGAATCATGCATTGCATTATGATTTAAAGTGAAAGTTATATTTGCAGATTTCCGGCTTTTGGACAAACGATCAGTACGTTTGGACGTACTTCACCGCCACTATTTGCTTCTTCAGCATCAAATATCCCCGTGAATTGGTCACCTGCGTTTTATCCGGACACAAGCACCAATGATTAGTTTTGAAACGTATCCTCTTCAGTGATAAGTGCTTGCTCTGGTAGTAGTTTAGGATTCATGCAATAGATTCAGAAGTTATGAAACGTTCGATTTTAGCCATATTTTTCTCTCGAAATAGGAGGTAAAATAAAATTAAAGAAGCCATATTATTCTGATTCCGAAGTTCAATATGACTGAATCTAATGATTTGTGTCCAGTGCATAATGAAGATTGTTCAGTGATATCGGTATGGCTTTCATAATCAAAACCGAAATGTAGTTAGATGGATTTCAAGTTTTAAAGCAGGTCTGTAATATACTATGCAAATTAAAATTTTATATGGAATTTGTTTAAATTTAAACGAAATTCCATTTAAAGAAATTATACCTTCACATTGCTTCACTTTTCTTGTAATTTGAATAATTTTTGTGGTTGGAATAAAATAAATAATAAGATCTTTGTGTATGTTAGCATTTTTAAAATCAATGAGTTGATTAACATCATTACTACAAAATACGCAGTAATAATCGATGATATCATAGTGTTGTTCAATAAATCCATTCGTAAGGTTAAAGTAAGCTGATTAACCATGTTAGTGATGAAGGAACATTCACCGCATTCTTGCTAAAGATGAAATTTATGATTACTTTAAGCTGAATCATGGTCGGTGGAAAGCAAACAATGTGAAGCAAGAAGAAATCGATTGCATTTCTTTTTTTGAATGCTATGGTTTGAATGTTTGGAAATGCTATTTTTGGGAAGATTTTGTTGGGGAGAAAGAATTACGGGAATGTAAATTGCGAAAAGCTTGATCCAATAGTTAAGAAAGGTATTCAACTTACTTTGGTAATGTGAGGAATTTCTTAATTGGTGGCTCGGCTTCTTCGGAAGATTTTTTTGCATCTAATGATGTAGTTTTTGCACAAGGAATGTTTGCTAATGTTTATGTCAACAAAGTATTTCATGTTGATTGATCATATCTATGGTTAGCAAACTTATGTGATTTGTTATCTGCCTAATAATCACCATAAACAATTAATGTTTCATGTTTTTCTTTTTCTTTTACTCTATGTCTTTATTATGAAGTTTATGATCACTTTGATGCTCCCTTATAATTTGAATTTTCCACAACAATCTTCATCTTAGAACGAAAATAAAAATTTGTCAAGTTTCAAAAACGAGAAATAGAACTATTTTGGAGGGATTTCGGAGAATGTGCAAGGTTTTGTATCATACATATTTCATACAAATTGTGAAGAATGATTTGTATCACCCAACTTAACTATTTATTAGTAGTCGCAGGACGAGGAAACTAACATTTCATGCTGAACATGTCTCTAACTTAGTTCATTCTTAGAAAAATATTTGAGAAGCAATGTAATGGAAGATGTTTCTTCATTTGGTTGACATTCGACCCAAACTTTTCCTTCATATTCATACGGGCTTAAAATTAAAGGAGGATATTTCTACAATTAAGTATGCAAATCCTGAAAGTAAGCATTATATGCGGCTCGATTTTTGAGTTGACTTTGTAGGAGAGATTGCTCGATGACGCTAATTTGAACATTCATTGTGAGAATTTCTGATTCCATCTTTTGTAGAGCTTGCTTTAACTTTAATATCGGAGCTGCAATTATTTCATGAATCAAGAAAAAATACGTTTTTTAAAAAGAATACCAAAAAATAGGTTTTAAATATTTCCAGGCATCTCGCAATTTAGAAACCAACCATCGCTATTTAGCATTACCTATAGTAATTAGCTTTTTCCACTCGTGATGTCTTCATTTGAAGCTCTGAGGAATATCCATCCTACGATGCTTCAAGACTCTCAATACATTGTGATCGTGATGAATATTCAATGGCATTATTCATGTATGGTCAGTGATATCAGTAGGAATGAAGACAAGAAAAAAACTCCCATTAAGCAAGCTATTGGTCAATACTAGACATATAATTTTTGTTTACTCAATATTAAATGAAATAACTATGTTTATGGCACCTCCATCACTATTTCGAAGACTTTTCTCGTCAATTTGTTGTTTGATTTGTTCCAATTCATCATTGACACGTTGCAATTTTTGGGTACGCTCCGAAATACCACCACTAATTTCTCTATTCAAATAAACAATGCATTTTATTATAAAATTAATATTAGAATTTATTTGATAAAGAATTTAACAAAATTTTAGCAATTCTGATTTATATATTACTTGTATTTTTCTCTCGCTTCATTCATTCTCTCTTTAGCAAGGCAAAACTTCGTCAATACAGATTCCAATTGGCTATTGAAATGTTTCTCCCTGTAAATGGAAATTTGAATGTCAAGAAAAATTTATAAAAATCATATGAATGGATTGTCTGTCACCTGCTGCTAATTCGTTCCATAGTTTTGCCAAGCTCATTACAAATACTTTGTAAATGCGGCTCTGTCGTATTTAGCAATTCTGCTAATGTTTTCTGTAAGGATCGCATTTGTTCTAAATGCATTCTCCAATCCTAAATAATACAACAATTCCATTTATTTTCCCTATATTTCACATATGTGAATATCAGTTAGAATGTTTGCTGCTGAAATTTCGACTATTTTTTAACTGTCATTATTTTTCTTTGCAAATGAATTATTTGGAAATCAAAAAAAAACTAATCGATATGTTGAACTTATAGCGCATACTTTTGAATCCTGTTCGAAGGTAACTTTAAGACGTGGTGCTACTCGTTCAACTTCAAGTTTCCACGAATTCACATCTGTATTGCTATGAAGGATACCATCTAAAGGTTGTTGCTAAAATTTGGAAATTTCGAAATATGAAATTTTATAATTAAATTTAATATTGGAAAGAAAACATCACACTACTATGCTGATAAGTGCTTCATTTTTCAGAATAAAGTTAGATAAACTTAACGTTTTTGTCATCAGTGATTCTTGAAGATAGCATTACTTCTAGATCCATTACAATTTCATTATCATCATCGTCGGCAATCTGGATTTGTTCGTCTTCATCAAACTAAAATTTCCTTGCAACTGTTCAATAATTGACATCTGCTTGGGAAAACTTTAAATTTCAGACTCTTCAATTTAGATGGGGCAAAATTTAGTGTCTTAAAGAAGAGCAAATGTTATGTTAATTGTTAGCAAATTTAAATTTAAATATGATAATATAGTATAATTATGTTTCAATGAGACATTTTGAAGAAGGATTTTTTTTACCTCTTCAGCAATAATTTCAGCTTGATCAGTTGTTACATCCGTTTCTTCATCATTTTCCGGTATTGGATCTGCTCTAACAAAAATTTAATCTAACAAACAATCAATTTGGAATTTTTTTCTTTCTGGTAAAATGTGAGAAAATCAACAAAAAAGCAAAGGAAATGAACTGGAGCTAATAAATATGAAATTAAGCAAAAATTAGTTAAATTGAAAAATTCAAATTGCAACAGCTGCTGAAGATAGCTTCATAAAAACTTGAA